AGTTGCTTAGGGCCTTACTAAGTTGCTGAGGCTGACCTCAAACTTGTGATCCTCCTGCCTTAGTTTCCTGAGCTGCTGGGCTTACAGTGGATCTTTGTGTCTGAAGTCTTCAGTATCTTAGTAGCTTTCTAATGCCTTCACACAGATATTTTAAAAATTTTATTTATTTATTCTAATTTGTTATACATGAAAACAGAATACATTTCAACTCATATATATAGAGCACAATTTTTCATGTCTCTGGTTCTACACAAAGTAGAGTCACACCATTCGTGTTTTCATACATGTACTTGGGGTAATGATGTCCATCTCATTCCACTGTCTTTATTACTCCCATGTCCCCTCCTTTCTCTTTGCCTATCTAAAGTTCTTCCATTCCTCCTATGCTCCCCTCTCCCATCCCCATTATGGATCAGCATCCACATATGAGAGAAAATATTCATCATTTGAGTTTTGGGGATTGGCTTACTTCAATTAGCATAATATTCTCCAATTCCATCCATTTACCTGCAAATGCCATGATTTTATTCTTTTTTAATGCTGAGTAGTATCCATTGTGTATATATACCACATTTTCCCTATCCATTTATTTACTGAAGGGCGTCTAGATTGGTTCCACAATTTAGCTATTATAAATTGTGCTGCAATAAACATTGATGTGGCTGTGTACATCAGTGACAAATTCTCTGAAAGAGAAACTAGGAAAACTACCCCATTTACAATGGCCTCAAAAAAAAATTCACACAGATATTTAATAGTTTTCAAGCCTTTCTGGTTTTCTTGGTGAGAGGAATATGCTATAAAGCTACTCCATCATTAATAAAAGTTGAAATCTTTAATTCAGTTTTGAGAAATATAGTTTATTGTTTTTCTTCTGATGACAAAAATAATGAATGTTCATTATTGTGCTTTTAGAAAATCATTAAAAAGTCATACACCCCCACACCCCTCCACACACACACACACCCCACCACACACAAACACAAATCAAGATTTCCTATAAGTCTGCCACTTCTAGTTTAAAATTATCATATCTTTTAAAAATGTATGAATATTATCAAATTTGGTTCTACACACACACACACACACACACACACACATATACTGTTTTATAACCAGGTTTTCCCACTTAAAAATGTCTCAAACATTTTTCCATGTCACAAGATATTCTATAGAAGAGATTGTAAATGGTGTCTCATGGGCTGAGAATGCACCACAGATGTGTTTCTAAAACAGCACTCCAATCTTTTTACATTTAAAAATAGGGTATGTCACACAAACACTTTATTTCTGGCTTCTTTTGAAAAATTAAAAAATTTAAAACTCTGAATTCCTATTTCTACGTGCAGCAAATTGTAGATTTGAAGATTGAAGCTGAGTAGATGGAGTAGGTTGTCTCCATTTCCCCCCTAATCTTGTCCTATAACAACATTTTAATTTGGAACCTCACTACTCTGTCCTGTACTTGAATGTCTTCACAACATTCTGTCTAACAGATGTGTCATAATTCATTTTCCTATTGTTCCTCAATTGGATTGTTTCATAATTTTTATGCCTCGAGAAATAGTATCATTTGAAACTTTTTAAAAAATTAGTTGTTGATGAACCTTTATTTTGTTTATTTGTATGTGGTACTGAGAATCTAACCCAGTGCCTCATGCAAGCGCCCTACCCCAGCCCCATGAAACTTTTTTTTAATATGTATTATAAATTAATCAGAGTGCAGGCAGATAAGAAAAATTAGACTCAATAAAGATCTTTCCAAGACAGACTTTAGAATACAGTCTATAGAATATAGTATAGGCATTCATTAGCTGACAACTAATGTTTATTTTACAAATTAAACAGTAATTTACAAAATTACCTATAATAGGGACAGGGGATGTAGCTCAGTGAGAGAGCTCGAGCTAGCATGGATGAGGCCTTGGATTTAATATCTACCACCATAAAGAAAATATTATCTGTAATATGTCACTGACTAAACTAGAGATGAGCTTCAGAATTTATTGTTTTGTGGAAACAGATTCTTTTAAAAATTTTTAAGCAAATAAGCCAATTTTACACCAGGCAGGAGTGAGCAATCTACATATATATAAAGGGTCACTATCAAAATCTATCTGTTCTGAGGCTGAGGTTGTGGCTGAGCGGTAGAGCCCTTATGTGGGAGACCCTGGGTTTGACCTCAGTACTACATAAAAACGAACAAATAAAATAAAGGTATTATATCCAACTACACCTAAAAAATAAATATATATTTTTAAAAATATATCTGTTCTATCCCAAGTATAAGCAAAGGCAGCTATTATTTGCAACTACCACTTAGTAAAATAAGCATACAAGGTTGGAATGGAATTCTGACACCCAAAACAAAATACATAGTAACTAAAGAGAGGATGGAAAAAAATCTAGAACAGAAAATTAAAAATTGTGATCACTAAGTTGCTCAATGAGAAATACATTTTGATTACATATTGTGCACCAAGAAGAAAGAGATACAAAATACCAGATAAATTGTTAAAGGAAGAGGGCAAAGAGATTCGGGGTGGGGGGGTTGGAGAGAAAGAAAATATAAAGAAAGACAAAAGGAAGGTAAGCGGGTGAGGGTGGAGGGTTAGGTAATTAATATTAACTGTAAGTTGAAGACTTTCCAGCTAGGCAAGGTGATGCACACATGTAATCCCAGTGATTTGGGAAGCTGAGGCAGGAGGATTGCAAGTTTGAGGCCAGCCTCAGCAATTTAGTGAGACCCTGCCTCAAATAAAAAATAAAAGGGCTGGGGATATAGCTCAGTGGGAAAGCACCGTGGATTCAATCCCCGGTACAGAAAGTAAAAATAAAAAGGCTTTTCTTTGCCAAGGTTCTGTCTTGAGGCTATTTACATTCTTTCTCTGGAGAGACTGAAAGCCACAGAGCCTAAGGGAAATAGAAAATGGAAACATGGTATCCAGAAGAGGTATTGATTTCTCTAACTGTACGCTAATATGAATCTTTACATGTCTCTCCCTCTCTCACAATTTTAGTTTAATGATGAGAAAAAATTGATGAATTTTCATCAAAATCTTCAGGATATCACAGAAGACCAACTCAGTTTGGCCTCAATCCACTACATGCGTTCTCATTACCAAGAAGCTATTGATATATATAAGCGGATCCTGCTAGATAACAGGTCTGTGTGCTTTCGTGCATACCTGAAATGTCTTTCATTTTGTTAGTTTCTTTTATGTTTAGTTTGGCTGAGGACCTAGTGTCCTTTGGATCTAGTAGCACCACGGGTTCAAATCTGTTTAGTTGATAATCTGGCATGATTATGAACTCCTTAGGGATTGTTTAGATCAAGATTTCTCTACCTTTTTCATTATCATCCTTCTAAGGAGACTTTGTAGACATTGCTTCATCCTGATTGCCACCCCCATGAAATTTTAATATGCTTATATATATGTATGTCTTATATATGTAATAATGTGTTTCTATGTGTTAACGTACTATATGTATATCTATGTTTTACCCACAAAATGAGTATGATTTTTTTTCACTCTCCTATAAAGACCAACTTTGCCCCTCTGGTGGGGATATTGCCCCTTTTGGAAATGCATGGTCTAGATGTGTCAATCTCAGTGATGTGATTACATTGTAGGTAACTTGCTGATAAAATTAGAAACAAACCATTTTAAAGAATTAACATTCCAACTTTATCACTTAGCCTTGGCCTCTTTCCAGTCTCTAAAATGTCTCATCCACCTTTCTCCTCCCCTCTTTTGCATTGCCTTTGAAGTCTCCGGCCTGTTCCCCTTTCCAGTCATCAAGCCCACCTGCCTTCTCTGTTCTCTATATGGAGTGCCTATTTGTTTCCTGTTCAGTTATAGCTTGTGTTAATTTTTTCAATATGAACATTCTGAATTTTTCCCT